CCCACTGCAGAACTTCACCCCTCCCCTTACCCCCCCCCCATGCTCTTCTCTCGCCCTGCCAGTTGCTAAGCCAGACAGCGAGAGAGAGATCCAGACACACAGACCGTCGCTGTCTTTAAAGCGGGACTCTCACGAAAGAATGTTTTTTTTTTTTGCGGAATGAGACAGATCCGTAATGCTCATAGCCCGTGACACCACAGCTCTAATATCTCACTTGTCTCCTCTCCCTCCTGGCGGTGGAATGATATGCGGCTACATGACACGGGGCAGGAGGACTGTACCCTTTCTTTGCAAATCATTCCGATCGTGCCTGCTCTCAAGGGCATTCATTTCCTGTCGTGGGATTCGTGGGTTCTTAACGACCCCCGTCCCCCGACCGGGTGCGTGGCCCCGTTAGACGTGACACGTGCGGCGAGTGGAGCTGGGACCGACTCGTCGAGTCTCAGAGTCGAGGAGAGTTTCAGGTTTCTCGCTCGACACCGTCGTTTTCGCTCGGACTTAAATATTCCCTTTGCTTTCAGTCATTTTGATGACCCCAGGTTCACTCACGCTTGCAAATGAGGCTCATCCTGGCCCCTTGAGTTCTCACCACCTTGTGAAATAAAATGAACTTGACTTTCATACTTTTGCCGTGGTCGAAATGATTCAAGCACCTTTACGAATGGCAGACAACTCCTGCAACTCTACATTGTCCGCTTTTCCACTATAGACCAGGCGGATCCCTCCGACGGGCCTACGTCCATCAGAACTGTGCGGTATCCTGCAATGGGAGTTCCAACACTATAATGGCGGTACCAGAGGTTGAGACAATTAAATTCCTGCTACCCGAACGAACACAGATACCCAATTCCCGGACTGGCCGGGTCAAAACCGGACAGGGGGCAACCCTCGCCCACCGCCGCCCCCACGTCGTGCCTCCCGAAGGCAAGAAATGCCCCGCAGGCTGCATCCCGGCATGACGTAGCTGACGATGTCGATGACATCACTGTGCCCCCATCCACCTCCCGTCCAGCGGCACATGTGGCCAAGTCACAAATCGGATGGGTGGCAACCCTTGCCCCCACTCCCCATTTATTTTCTCCCAAAGGCAGGAAACTCCACGCAGGCCACATCCCAGTGTGACGGTGGCTCCCGATGATGTCAATGACATCACCGTGCCCCCGCCCACCTCCCGTCCAGCGGCACACGTGCCCCCCAAAATGTCCACGTTAATTCGATTTGTCAAATAATTGAATAGATAATCGGGACAAAAATGTTTCACCTATGTCCTAATGTGTGCCGCTGGATGGGAGGTGATGGCCATGGCTTTTAGGGGTTGGAAGTGGGGGTGGGGAGAATCGGCAGCCACTTTTAAAGGAAAGCGGGGGGGGGGGTAATCACAAAAAAGTCGTAGGATTGCACTTAGCTGGCGATTAGTCGACTCAATCGCCGATCCGTTACGGCTCTCGAGGTTCTGTCCATGCGCGGGAAGAAGGAAGCAGAAGCGATGTCCGCGGGAACTGCACCACTGCTGTGTGAGAGAGGGTCACGCCACCACTCGCCCGACGCGCTGTGTTGCGCTCACACAGCGCGGTGGTGAGCGGCCCCGCAAACAAAACGGAACTGACCGTCCCCCGGTCTCCAATCAGTGGCCTTCTCATGGGGCCAGACCCCCCCCCAACAAAAAAATGCCACAACTAAAGCTGGCCTGCGTTTGTGCCAAGGCCAGGCCGGTCACAGAGGGTGCTTTGGAGGGGCCTTGGAGGGGCCGTGCAGTGACCGTTCCCGCGGTGTATAAAATCATAAACTATTTTTTTTTATTTTACCAGGTAAGGCCCCACTGAGCTATTATATAGCTCTTTTTCGGAAGCGACCTGGTCTTACACAAATGAGAGCGCAACGAAGTGGCTTATCATCACGTGGACATTTATAGCAGCCATGGACTCTTAACGCACGTGGATTCTAAATGTGGAGGGAAAAACTCGACCACCCGGAGAAAAAATTTGCGCGACCACGGGGAGAGAGACACCGCAAATTCCAAATATACAGCAGCGGGCGTCAAGGTTGGGATCGAACCCACGACCTCCTGCATACCAGGCGAGGTAGTTAACATCTCGCGACCACGGTGTGGCTGAGGCGTCTGGCCATGCGACCTTCAGCTCGATGCACTGAGATGGTGCTACACACACAGAACACACGAAGTGTACACAAGCCAGCACACCTACATAAATATCCTCCGTATAGCCTTTAACGGATTCTTGGTGCAAGTGTTTTTAGCGAGTGTGTACTTATTAAGTGCCAGTGCGGCACACGAGGTGGTAGGTGGCCAGCGCCACACCCGGCCGTCTTTGTCTCCCCAATGCTGATGTTTACACACCGCACCAGGTACCCATTTGAGGCCTAGTCGACCTAGGAGAAATTAAGGTCTGGTACCATATATTTGTCAATAATGTTTGTCAATAATGTTGCAAGTGCGCTATCCACAAGCAACACGTATCCACACACGAGCGCACCCACACATGCGCGCACCCACACATGCACATTAAGGTGCACACGCATCCCAAACGCCCCCGCACACCGCACACAGAGCAGCACACAACCGCACGTGCGTGCCTTAACACGAACACGCATCGCACACACACGTGTGCATCGACACGCACGCACATCCCGCGCACACAGACGCACACACGTGTGCATTAACACGCGAACATGTCCCACACACGCGCGCGCACGCACACGCCGCCTGTGCGATGGCTATCTGGGAAATCGCAGCACCTTAAGCAGGAAACTCTGTGTTCCGTTTCGAGGACCGCAAACTGTATCAACAAATTCCTCAATTTTTTTTCTTCCTCCTCCTCCTCCTCCCCCTCCTCCTCCTTTTCTAAAATTACCTCCTCTGGGATCACCGACCGGCGCACTACGCCGGGCTCAGCCTGGGCTGAGCCGAGCCCGGAGCGAGTGGCGACGGTGCCTAGGCTGTGAGCAAGGAGGCCGTCTGCGGACGAAAATAAAAACAAATTCGATGGATTCGTCGCGACTCTCGGGGTTGCGATTCAAATCTAGAATAAAAAAAAAAACGGTATACGTTGCAACAACATCAACAACAAAACCACGAAATGATCATAAGCGGCGTTGTGGAGAATATCGCGAAAATAAATGAGAATGTAATGCATCTCCTTCATATGAGTGTTTCGCCATGTAATTTAAAAAAAGAGATATTGTATAGGCTCAGTGCGTGGCGTCAGCAGCATTGATTCAAAACAAGCAAACTGATGCGTTGCAGCGTCTCTAGTGGCTGCAGGGGTCGCGATAACCAACCTGGCGATGTACGGTATGGGGTGGTGGTGTGGTGGTGTGGTGGTGTGGGGTGGTGGTGTGGGGTGGGCTGGTACAGTGTGGGGTGGTGGGTGCTGTGTGATGCGGGGTGGTGTGATGTGCGGTGGTGCGGTAGTGTCGTGTGGTGTGGTGTGAGGTGGTACGGTGTGGTGTGGAGTGTTGTGGCGCGGTGTGGTGTGGGGTGGTGTGCTGTGGTGCGGTACGGTATGGTCTGCTGTGGTGTGGTGTGGGGTGGTGTGCTGTGGTGCGGTGTGGTGCGGTCTGGTACGGTGTGGTGTGGTATGGTGTGGTGTGGTGGTGCGGGGTGGTGTGAGGCGGTGTGGTGTGGTAAAGGGTGGTGTGGTGAGGGGTGGTGTGGTAAGGTGTGGTGCAGTGTGGTGTGGTAAGGTGTGGTGTGCTGTGGTTCGGTGGTCCCGACTGCTGGGTGGGCCGCCCGTGGGAGCCGTCCCCGGCCGCGCTGCACCGATCCCCGCGTCCCCTCCGCCCGCATTCTTTCCGCGCCCCACGCTCCCCGTGCATCGGCTCAGGGTCGCATTTTTTCCGGACGCTCTCAACGTCTGGCTTTGAGCTCTTGCGCAGGCCAGAATTTCAGATGTTTTTTGTTTAATTATCGTGCTAATTTGAGAGGAGCGCGCGCCTGCAATGCGGGCGTGTTGGATGAGGGGTTGGTGGATCGCGTGCAGATTGTTGCGCGACACTCCAGGCGTCTGCATTTTTATTCGTTCGTCGAGCGCGCCTGAAACTTTCGTGGCCTATTATTATCCACCGTGAAACCTCACTCTATATAAACACCGTATTTCCTTTTAAGGCTGCGGCGTTATTGACGAATGTCTTGCGTTTTTGTTATTTGTACTTGTGCACCGCTGCCAACGCAGTATCACCAAATGCTTAATTTTATTATTATAGCCTTAAGGCGTACAATAAGAGGGATCTTTCTTGCGGTGCACTGGGCAGCCTGAATGTGGTGATGTGGTGGGGCTCATGGAAAGCAATTTGATTATGGATAATCGGATAAGTTTGTGTTTATTAACCGATGGTGTGTACCTCACTCCCTGTCTCCCACCTGCCTGCCAACGAACCAACTCCAATGTGACCACCTCAACCACCACCACCGCCAACATCACCACCACCACCACCCACACCAACACCCACACTACTTACACTACCATCACCGTCACCACCACCCACACCTCTAACACCACCACCACCCACACTACTAACACTGCCACCACCATCACCACCACCCACACCTCTAACACCACCACCACCCACACTACTAACACTGCCACAACCATCACCACCACCCACACCTCTAACACCACCACCCACACTACTAACACTGCCACAACCATCACCACCACCCACACCTCTAACACCACCACCACCCACACTACTAACACTACCACCACCACCATCACCACCACCCACACCAACACCCACACTACTAACACTGCCACCACCGTCACCACCACCCACACCTCTAACACCACCACCACCCACACTACTAACACTGCCACAACCCCCACCACGACCACCACCACCCACACCTCTAACACCACCCACACCTCTAACACCACCACCACCACCCACACCGCTAACACTACCACCACCGCCACCCACACCGCTAACACTACTACCACCGCCCTACAAAAACCATCGCAATTACCACGGCACTACTACCACAGGGTGAGCAGGCGAGCGAGGGAGCCATGACGGACAGCATGGACGACTGGGAACGCAGGCGGGAGGAGCGCCGGCAGAAACGCGAGGATATGAGACGCGAGACCGAGCGGTGAGAGCGGCGTTCCACGACGCACACGCAGATACACACAAAGACAAAGGTCCCCCGTGTAGCCTCAACGGACTGTTGGTGCAAGTGCTGTTAGCGAGCAACACCTAATGAAGGCCAGCACGGCACTCGCGAGGGGGTGGGTGGCCAACACCACGCCATGGCCGTCTTTGTCTCCCTAGTGGTGATGTTTACACACTTCACCAGGTACTCATTTGAGGCTGAGTTGACCTAGGGGAGACCCAAGACTGGTTCAAAAATTCACCACTATTATTGATCGTGAGCGGGAATTAAACTCGGGTCGCCCAGTTTGTAGTGCAGCATGCTAACCACATGCAGATATACACACAAACATGCAGATATACACACACACACAGGCATTGCATGCGTACACACAGATACGCACATCGAGACATATACACACAGATATACACACACACACACAGAAACATTCACAAACACTCAAAGACACACACAGAACACACAACAGCAACAACCACCATTTTCTACTCAGTGCGGGTGACATCACCACAGCTCTTGTGCCAGGCTTGGTGCACTTTGAGGCCACGTGAAGTGTCACAGGCTTCCTGCAGGAAATCACGGACCAGACCCAGGTGTTGTGTGTTAACTGACAGAGATGACCGGCAGATGCGCCACCTGTGCTGCAAGTGTACCCAGTCGCTGCGTGTTTTCAGCTGCCCGGCACTCGGCTCGTTTTGCGAGCATCGTACGCAGAGCTACACGCACGGTTAAGCCTAGGCCATCATTATACACGAACTATACATAGCAATATTCCTGTTACCCTCTGCCTATGTCCCGAGATGTATTGCTGGGGGAAGGCTCAGGTGGGTTAATGCCACGGGGTGAGGGGGGTGGGGGTGCAGACGCCGTCTGTGTCGCGGTGACGAGTGACGTCGCCTCCGACCAGCACGCCCGGCTACGCACGGTGCGAAAGAAGTCCGGCCACCGTCGCCGCCATAGTTGCCGGCCAGACACTGCGGGGTTTTCTTGTTACCGCGGATGGCAGCAGAATTTCGACTTTCTCAGCCTCGTCCGTTCGCCTCGCCTCGCGGACGGGGAGCGGTGGTGTCTGTCGTTGATCGTGCACGGTGGGGGGGGGGGCGCGATTCGTGTCTCTCCGCCACCGTGGCTTTTGAGTTTTTGTTGTCGTTGAGTAAAACAACACATCCATCCTACCTGTACCCCCTCATCTCTCTCTACTCCCCTCCACGTACTCTTCTCTCCAGCAACCAAGGATTCCGGTTTTGTTTTGAAGCCACCGATTGGCTTTTGCTCAGTGCACGGTGGCTCATTATCCTTGGCTACTCCCCCACCGTGGTCTAGAATTCCTTCGCCCCAGACGTCCATGCTATTGACTCCCTGCTCCAGTTCAAGTCCAGGCTCAATACCTTCCCATTCCCCTCTATCTATACCCGAATACCCTCCCATTCTCATTCCCATTCCCCTCTGTCTATGACTGTCAGCCTCTTCTCAACAAAACGAAACGGTGTACAGTGCATGGGGGAGTGTTGGCATGGTGGTTAGCAGACTGCACTTTTAACCTGGTGACCTGAGTTCGATTCTCAGCCATGGCTAACATCAGCGGTGCGTGATCTCTAACCCGGTGCCGGGCTTCCTCTTCGCCAACCCGCGAAGAGCGGTGCGGTGAAGTGTGGACAAACAGCGACCGTGACTGACACTGTGCAGAGGCCTTCATGTAGATGTGGACTGACAACAAACTCAGTTATTATTATCATAATTGTAATAATGTAATGGACCTACAGCTCCTCGTTCCTCGTGATGGACCGGTCTCACAATTTTGCACGCCACCGTGAGATGAAGTTGCCATTAAAATGCCATAAAATTAAGTAAGTAAGAACGTTTGTTATTGCTCACTGTTGTGAGTCTAGTCCGTTACGAATGCTCGATATAACCCGAAAACTCCCGGGTTAAATTGCATTACTGCTCTCGCCTTCGGTGTTCCGGTTTTGGCGCTCGTTGCACCGCTTGTACGATGTCCGACGTATCTCTCCACGTGCTGGAAGCTTCTTCAATTTAGCTGCACAATGTGCAGCACGTTTGCAAATGACATAATAGCCCCGTGTAGCCTTAACAGAATGTTGGGGCAAACGCTGCATGGAGAGTAGCACCTAATGAAGGCAGGCACGGCACACGAGGGGGTGGGTGGTCAGTACCACGCCCGGCCGCCTTTGTCTCCCCAGTGGCAATGTTTACGCATCCTACCAAGTATTCATTTGAGGTTGAGTCGATCTCGGGGAGACCCAGGACCGATTCAGATAATCGTCACTTGTGTTGGCCGGGAATCAAGCTCGGGTCGCCGGGTTTGTAGCATAACGCTCTTACTGCTACGCTACCGCTCCCCACTCGACAACCACACGTGCGCACACGCACAAGCACAGCAATGCCCACACTCATCAGGAGTGGGCTATCTGGCCATGGAAGTGGTCCATTACTCCGCTGATTATCCGTTCGATAACTCGACTGAAAACACATCAGAGCTAAAAAGCACAACCGCAAAACACATTGGTGCGTTCATCATGTTGTGGCGATGATGATGGTGCCATGAAACAGTTAATGACAGGCCAACGAAGTGACGCATATGAGCTCTATACATGAGCCCGTTGAGAACTTTAATCCAGGAAGGATATGAAGCCATTTAGGATCTTGCGTAGGAGCTGTGAATCTCCGGAACTTTGACCCGCTATTATTTTTCGTGGTGGAAAAATCGGACTGCGGAAATGAACAATAGGCTTGATTATGAGAAGTCTGCTTTGTGTTTTAACCATTCTAGTTTCATTAGTAAAATACGATATTAATTTCCCTCCCTGGTAGAGCAGAGCCCCACTTACACTCTGCTACATCCACAGCTGTGAACTGCAGCTGTGAAATCCTACACTGTGCTGTGCATATTGTATACACGGCACAGAATAGGTAAAGGCGCAGCTCCGTAATGTCTTGTTCGCGTCACTGCTGGCGGAAGGACCAGCCTTGGAGGGAGCTCTAGAAAACCTCTCTCAAGAGAGTGTCTTTGGCCTACTCTTCCACGATGGCCAGAAAAGTCTCGGAAGAGGTGGGAGGAACCCACACTTTACCCCACCACATGTGACCCGCCGATTGAACTAACAGTGCAGTGTCTGGATTATATATCATCATCGTCATCATCATGAGCCATGTTCGTTTCGCTGTTGGACAGAGGCCTGCCCAGTCCGTCACCGGCTAAGTGCTAACGATGCCGCGATAAAAGTAAATCCCACCGCTCCCTCTCCGCGTGCTTGGCTGCCACCGCTTCGCCGGTCCCCCCCTGCAACCCGGATTCGAGCCCAGGTTCTCAGCGGACCCGGCGCCATGTCACTCACACGGCCCCACCACCCCCACCCCCCCCCCGCCGCCCCCCTGAGCTGTTTGGCCACCGTCGAGCGTCATATCTGCGTACGTTTTACTTGCGTAGTCCTTTTGTCAATCGCACCGCTGGATGAGGACTTCGCCAACGCCACGTGGGTCTTTTGACCGTAGTTCGCCACGCTGGTCACTGTGGATTGTTTAAGGTGGGGAGCACGGCACAGCGCAGCGCACCTATGCATTTCGGTGCCCTGCCCTCCGCTGCCCGTAACGTAGCCCCCGCATCAGCCGATTGCACCTCGTGTGCATGGTGCCGGCCGTTTCTCTTCTGCGTCGCGTAAGTCCGGCCCAGAATGTGAGACGTTCATAACCCCCACCCCCAACCACCGTGACCCCACCCCCACATCCATCTCTTCTTCCCCCGCTACCCCGGGCCGCCCACCCCACACCGCAGCAGCCGGGTTTAAAAGGAATTTGAAACAATTGCCAATTTTTCATCTGATTTATACGGTGGCACGGTGAGGTAAGGCGCGTTATACCGAGCACATGTTACACGCGGCGCCCGGAGCCCCGCATCACCTGCACGTCCGCACCTCTCCTTTACTCCTGCCGCCAACATTCCTCACGCACCACAGAGAGAAAGAGAGAGAGATGAGGAGGTGGAGGAGGACGGGGAGGAGGGCGCACAACGCTTGCACTTGTTTTTCATACCCCCGTTACACCCCCGTTACACCCCCTCCCCCAATTCCCCTCCCCTGCCCCCCGGAATTTTTGTTTGCATTCGATCGGACTGTCGCACACCGCGAGACACAAAGAGGAAACTGCGGAGGAGTAAGAGGACCGCAGGCTCGGCCACCAGTGACATCGTGCAGACTGCTCGGCGGCTGTGGGGAGGGGGGCGCACCGCTCGAACGACGAATTCGCGGAGGAGAGAACTCGCGCAAGTTGAAAGAGAAATCGGAGCGGGCTTCGGGTAGGTCGCTTCCCTTGAAGGGGCGATGGCCGACGCTTCGAGACTGACGATGGAGCGGCAGCCAAAGGAGGGAACACACACAAGAGGATGGCCTCCCTCTGCGGGGATGGGGGCCCATGATACCAGCCCGCAGCCCTAACGGGTTGTTGTATGGCGGGACCGTGAGTGATGACTTCATGGGGTGGGGGGTGGGGAGGAGGACTGACTTCGCCCAGCAGTGGATAGATAATGGCTGACGATGCTGATGATGGCATTCAGGGATAATGGAGTGAACAAAACTGTACAAACGAGACAATAACAAACGGTGATGCGGTTCATCGCCACGTGAAGGCGGGGTGGAACCCTACAACCCTGTTTAACACCATCATTACAAAACTTGCCGTTAAATTTAACGGTTATTTTAGAACAAAACGGGTTTTTTTAACAATCAGCCAGATCTTTGGGTTGCTTTGCCAAACAAAGGCGTTCCAACCACGGGTGTCATCGTTCTCTACGTCCGGGACAGAGTTAATGCAATAAAAAGGCTTCAGCCAAAAGGAATAAAAAAAATACCAATTCTGAGGCGAGCCCATGGGAAAACCGTGGCAGAAGTCCGAGCGACAAATCCGGATCCGTTTGCCGCGTGGATCCGGTTCGTTGCGCGCGGGTCCATGGGGAGCAGACGGGAAGG